TCATGATCATTTTTAAATCTAATAGGCTAGTAGGTGATCAGCCTCCAGTGCCTGACACATGCCAGCCACTAGGCGAACACTGCTCTAAAAAACGAAAAAAACATTACTTATAGTCTAGGACCGATTAAAATTGTTTAAAAGAAATCGTTTTTATCCTTCTTTAGTTTTTAAGTGAAGTTAATATAAATAATATTGCGTGTAATATATTGTGCCGTATAAGAAACTAGGGGTTCAGAATATGAAATTAACACTTTTGTAAAACGATAAAAGGCATCGCGGCTAAATTGTGGTTGGTCCATAGCGTTTTGCAATGTTTTTTCTTTATACCATCGTTAATTTTCATATGAACATCTCTATATTTATAAAATTCTCGTGTCACAATGTTCGTTCCCATACTCCTCCGGAACGGCTCAACCGATTCTCATTAAATTTTTTATGCATGTTCAGTAAGTCTGAGAATCGGCTACTATCTATCTTTCAAACTCTTAAGTGGTAAGGGGTGTCCACCCCAAAAATTATTTTTCTTAGACAATTTTTTTGTTTTTATTTTTTTATGATACAACATACAAAAATACATACAACCCTTAATTTTCACCTCTCTACCATCAATGCCTATTTTTTATTATAGCACATAGTTATTTTTATTGAACTAAAACAATATTTCTTAGAAATACATGGCAAAACAACGTTTGTCGGGTCAGCTAGTACTGTATACAATTCATTACGATTTACAGCGATGTACGTTATTTCCTTGAGAACCTTTATTTCTATTACAGAGAACTGAAGGTCGTTGGGCGTTAAACGGCCCTCGTAAATTTTTGTGCCTGCGGTATTACGTGAGAAATTACCTCAGAATGCGAATGCGACTAGCTCGTCCGGAACTTGATTATTTATTATACAATTTGATGGAAAATTTTATAAGGGCTAGTTAGTGTCTGGCGGCATCCCCTTTTCAACAAGGAATAGTATCAAAAGTCAAAAATCATTTAATCATATAGGTAACACAATGTACACTTATGAACCATAAAAAAATAAAAATATATGAAATGCTTCTAACTTTACATTTACTGCCAGTTCTCAAATCAAAGGCGTAGAACGGAATTCAAGTACGACCTGTCACCACAAGTAGCACCCGTTCATGAGTATGAAGCATGGCCAGCCATCATTTTTGGATATTAAGATATATTACAAAAGAAATATAACGAGCTTTAAGAGCTTGATGACTATAAGCAAGATTGTTTTATTTATTTGACTAAATAGTATAAATAAATATAGTCATTATCGTTTTACAATACATCAAAGTTGTGAACTACAATGGAATGATAGGAAGTATAGCTAATTGTCATTGGACCAATGGTTGTAATATCTTGTTTGATATCGCAGGCGTGGGACCAATCCGTTGCCCAATCAAAATGAAACGAAATACGTTATCGTTTTATCATTTGTTTAACTTTCTCAGCCTTCCGGTTGCCAAAACGTGCCATTACATTTACTAAGAATTAGGGCAAAAATTGCGTGATAGTCCAAGGCCCTGTGCCTAAAATTAAATAACCTTAATTTATATCTGGCAATCCTCAATGTTATGATTAATTATTGTTATGAAAGCAAAATCTTTGAGTGAGTATTCATTTTTAATGTAATATATTAAGTGTCTCCACTTTGATACAATGTTGTATACAGCTAATGTTTTAGTATATTTATGGAACCTTTTACTTAAGATTACATTTATTTTATTTATTTATTAACACTTCGTTGCCGTAATACATACAGTGCAATAAAAGTAATTAAATAAAAAGGAGGGTAACTGGCGTCCTTATTCATTTCAAACGACCTCTTCCAAGTTCCCACTTAATAATTAAATAGTAATACTCACCTTGGGTGCAAGAAGTGCAAAACTACATAAGATATAAAGTTACTTAGACAAAACGAATAGAACAAAGTAAAACAATTGAAACATATGTGAAAGGGACAATAATAAAAAAAGTGCGTGCGTAGATTGTACACACGTCAGAAGTGAAACTTCTTTGGCAAACTAATTTTTAACTCTTGTTCACTTCTAGTTTTAGATTTGTTTAAATATTATACAAATCTAAAACTATAAAACTAGAACTTAGATTTCCGAGACTTAGAGGGAGGGAAAAAGGAAGATAAGTTAGGAATTAAATGAATTTAATTGTCATTATAATTTAATATTTTTCGAAAAAATATGTGTCGAAAATAATTTTTTTTTTTTTAATTTATTTCTTCGCCGTAGATTCTACGCCGTAGAAAAGCAGAGAGAAGACGTAACTCGCGCGCTCTAAGTTGTAAATTTACGCGCTTGTCACAAAGTACTTTATTTAGTTTCGAAAAAGCGTTCCGCGCTTGTTCAATTCTAGAACGGATTTTGATTCTAGGGTTACCCTGTTTATCAATCATTCTGCCTAGATCGTATTTTTGAGCCGCGTTCAAAGGTCTAAATGTTTTGTATAAGTTGCGTGAAATGCTCGGGTATTCGGCTTATTATCTAGTATTTCAATATGAAATATGGGGTACAGCATGCAGAAACAAAATTTGTAACATACAAACACTACACAATTAATTAATAAAAGCACTATTTAGATAAAAAAAAATTACACAGACTAATAAAATCTACCAAGAAACCAAAATTATAACGGCTAACTATATCTTTATAGCACCTGTATCTTAATTTAAAAAAAAAATAAATAACTCCCTCCATAGTAGCTTATCATTTAAAAAAATAAAAAACACCACTACACGCAATACTCGTCAAGCGAGTTTGCTTATATTGCCGAAGCCACGTACAAATTATTTGAAGAAGTCTATTAAGTATGAGGGTGTGCAATTACTTACTCAATTACCGTCTAAAATTCGTAATATTTGCGCGTTTAACCAATACAAAAGGGCATTAAAGATAAATATCAGAATGAGCCTAGTAGACTAAAATTGGGACGGCTGATGGCGACGTGTATCTCGTTCGTATATTATTAAGTTTCTCATGTAAATAAAATACATTCTTTTTTGTAATGAGAAATAAAATCCTTTAAAGATTATTTTGACTTTATTGCGTTGATACCAAATTCAGAAGTCACGGCGGCTACTGAATTGACTAAAGTTTGTAGACCGAGGCTCTCTGCGATTCATACATCTATTGAATTTTGACAATAATATCATACAGTTACTCAAGAACTTTTAGACTTTTAAAATAAATAACACTTATAGCCTATTAAATTCAACGCGTTAACGTGCTCTAATGGTGTTTTTTTCCAGGAAATGTAAGTACAATACGGCCATTTTCAATAGAAAGTTCGTGTTGGTTGGCGTCTAGACGTCATAAAAGAGATGCATTTGAGTCGCGCATCAAATAACATGTAAAAAATTATTATTTTAGCTGAGTATTAAGTAATAATCTCAGAAGCTCAACTCTTATAAGGAGTAAACTCAAAATAACTTGACCAATTTTGATAATTCGTCATGATCGTAGAACAATGTCGGATTTTAAAAAAAATCCACTTTTCATAATATTTGAGTACTACATTGACTAAATATTACGGCTACATTAAAAAAATCCATGTGTTTTAAATTTCAAATTAATCAGTCGGTAAAGTGACGGATGTGATAGGTAAGCTTATCATGTGATTTTTCTAGAAAACTGTGTATTTAATGTTATTTTTTTTATTTTGTTTCCAAACAAACCATTTTGTTTGCTTGTTTGCCAATTTTCATAATTACAGAATATGAATTAAAAAAGTTATGGCAAAATCTAACATGATTGTATTATTTTGAAATGGCTGCCCTGTAAAGTTTACTATTTGTCCGATCCGTCACTATTCTACGACTATGACGAATTGTTTTGCAATAAGAATGCTAATTATATTTTCAAAAGATTACAAAGATAATTACCGCGACAGGTTGTCGTACATAAGTAGGCGAACAGATTATTAGGTCCATATACTGAACTAATCCCTACCTATGTTTTACATACTTATACACACATAAAAAAGTCGAAATTGAATACATGAAAGTATTTTTAAGTCATAATGTATTGTATAGAATAGACTGAAACATTATTACGACGTAGTGCTTTGAGATCATGATAACAAATTTAGCCGCTAAGCTCAGAAAAATATAAAGCAAATATTTTTCTTCATAATAACGGTAATTTTATACAGATATAAAGTCAGAGACTGTGAGTGTGTGTTGTGTGTGTGAGTTCAGAGTGTTTAAAGCTGCCAGCTATAAGCAAGCAATTTTGGGAGTTTATCTATTGTTGTCTGTGGTAATTGAATGCGTTTTACCCGGTATTCTACATACACAGACACAGTTATGTAAATTTAAGATAATATGGCTTGCAGATTCATTTTACTGCTATTCATTGAAAGGCTTTATTGTATAGTAGGCGATTTTGTTGGCATATTGATGACATTTGCGAAACGCTTGACCCTTAAGAATGCCATGCCACATTGTCTGCTGTTATTTACAGACTTTTAATAAGAGATTTTATGGAACTTTTTTGAGTAAAGAATTTGAGAGAAAGATTTTACTTTTCTCGTGTTTATATATCACTTAACTTATTTATTTATTAAAATGTCCAAACCATTATGACCTTGTTTGTTTTCTGTTTATTTTCAGACTATCGTCACGTATTCAAATTACAAAGAAAAAACTTGTAACTCACGCTTGTAAATCAGTTTTTTTATACGAAAAATTTCAGACAAGTGATAAAAATTACGGATATTTCTGCGTATTTTACGATCAGCGAAGACGTGTGTTTGGATTTTGGGAATAATATTTGGGTTATCGCATATTTATACACTATTGACCAAGTACGTCAGACGATTTTTTGTTCCACGTTTATTTTTACCTCAAAAGAACTCGTGATTTATGACAAATGTAAACACAGGTCCGCCCGTGAATCATTCACGATAGTTTTAACCTTAAAGCAATTTTTTTAGATTTAAATCGCAATTGTAAGGGTACGATACACTTGCCAAGTCGTATTAAAACTCCAAATTAATTTTAGAACAGGGTGAATGAACGTAGCACTGACCTCCTTTTTGCGTGACGTTGAATGATCGTAGTCTGTACGAGTCTTCGTCTGGTTCCTCCTCCGCAGATGGCTGGTGTGGTTTGGGGACATCTAGGAAGGCGTTGGACCGCCTTGGTTGGCTGTGCTGACCAGCTGGCGGCCTGCGCCTCGCGGACGCCTGCCTACGTACTTGTGGCGGAGTCTCTGCTTCGGCTAAACGCGGTTCGGAGCTATACCTTGCCCTGGTCTCTCTATCTAACTGTTGCTGCTGTTGCTGTTGCCGTCTTTGTCTTACAGAGCGTCCACCAGTTATCCTGGCCGATTGTGATCGTGCGGCTGGTCGTCTTCGAGGAGCTGGCGTGGTTTCTATAGGCGCAGCCAATGCTTCCATACTCGCGGAAGCTGGCGCGCAGATGGATTGTGAGCGCTTCGTGCGTCCGTCCGTAGCCATGGTCGCGACGTTACTGAAGCTGAAACTAACGCGGTATACCAACTCCTACCGGTGGGAAAGCGCTGCGAGACACGAGAAAAGCGGAAGCTTTGGTTGAATATACGCTGTCAGACATATTTTCTTTTACATCTGAAATTTTCACAGTAAGGAGGTTTAAAATAATATTAATAGAATAATGTTCATTAAAACGAATTTGAAACACATATATAACAATTAGTATTTTTGCAAAGAATACATAAACATGATTGCAAAAATCAAGAACTAACATTCGAAAGCGAAGAGAATTGGTTTTTTTTTTGCAACTCACCTATTTTCATTTATAACAGCCTCATTTCACAGTATGTCTTTCATTTAAGCACTTGTTTCTTAAAACAATTCAGAGCTTTCTAAAAGCGCCTTTAACGCTGTCTTAGGAAGCTTAGTTGCCTGAAGCTGCTCCCCTCGGCCCGCGCACTTGTTGCATCTGAAAGACCACTCTAAATGCCCACTAATTCGTGTCAACATTTCTCAATGAACCTTTGATTAACTATATATATATATGGGCGGATGCCCTTCATTATTAGAATCAGCCATGTCTTAATAATTTTAATGTTGGTCACCAAACTCAAAATCTATTTACTATTCATTAGGAAATCTCTTAAACAAGCACTTTCAATTAGTTTTGTAACAAAAAGACACCAGATTATTTAGAACAAAAGCGATTCGTCGCAGACGTGGTGCGCTCGCCGTTGACGTTCGAAAAACTCCCAACGATTCAACATGGCCGCGCTGACCATCGATACGACGCTCCGCCAGACTTGACAACTGTCAAATCTCGTTCCAATATTTGCAGTATTTCTTAACATGGCGCTAGGAATGCGCCGTCACGGCCGGACTGACTTTCGACCGTCCTCGGGCGCATCAGATTGCAGTCCTGTAACAGTGACACAATCAATCGGACAGGTGTCAGTAAATCTACCCGCTCGCCCAACCTGACAAGCTATGACTACTAGACGTAATGCTACTGTCATACAACTATGACTATCAGAATAAAAAAAAGCGTGTGTCCTTTCGACCACTCATGGACCGGACGGCACCTTTTTCTAATCACTTAACAAACATTACACTCTTTATCTAACAAACATACTCACAGTATCAATTTGGACCGGACGAGTGTGTCCTTTCGACCAGCCACTCGTGCATGGACCGGACGACACTGTCCCTTCGACCAATTAACACCTAAGATTGGACCGGACGGGTGTGTCCTTTCGACCAGCCACTCGTGCATGGACCGGACGACACTGTCCCTTCGACCAATTAACACCTAAGATTGGACCGGACGGGTGTGTCCTTTCGACCAGCCACACGTGCATGGCCCGGACGACACTGTCCCTTCGACCAATGAACACTTAAGATTGGACCGGATGAATGTGTCCCTTCGACCAGCCGCTATCAGCTGCGTGGCCCGGACGACATTATCCTTTCGACCAATGAACACTTACGGTTGGACCGGATGAATGTGTCCCTTCGACCAGCCGCTATCAGCTGCGTGGCCCGGACGACATTATCCTTTCGACCAACGAACACTTAAGGTTGGACCGGATGAATGTGTCCCTACGACCAGCCGCTATCAGCTGCATGGCCCGGACGACATTATCCTTTCGACCACCTTCACACACACACACACACCACGTTATTCAATGACTCATCTCACTAATCGTGCCAACATAGTTAAGTAAACTTCAGCGCTTACAGATTACACATACCTATAAGTTACGGACTGTCTTGCTCTGCGTGAATTCGGACCTAATGCTCAACGGTTTCGCGATCTGAAATGTTACTTAGGGTATCAGACTCCGCTGTAAGCGTGTCTGATCCTGCGGACAGTGTATCGGAGCCTGCAGTCAATATATATCACAAACATTCGGTCTGTCGAGGTGACTATTATCGAGTTCAACATCGTTCGGCGCCGTCATGGCCTCTTCTTCAGTCATCAAACTAGTAGATATTTCAACTAACCCGTCATGACCCCGAGGTACTGGACGCAAGTTCTCGTGCGCGTATTTGAAAGTACGATGTGAACCGGTTATGCTTTTCAACTCGTAACGGTCATTATCTAATACTGCGATTATTACATAAGGACCCCTAAACTTCCTATCTAACTTGGTTTGGTTGCGTTCACAACTTTTGATGAATACGAAATCGCCTTTAGAAAATGGCTTGATAGTAGCTCGACCCTGGTTAAATCGTAAAGTATCGGATGCGGCTGCCCTTTGTATGTTAAGAGACGCATCTTGCCTAGCTGACTCTACGTCAATTCGCTGTTCTTGTTCTGAATCTGGACTTGAACACCTAATTCTCGACATACCTAGAGATTGAGAACGGATACCGAACATGAGTTCAGTTGGCGTAAATTTGGTGACTGTAGACCTAGTACTATTAAGCGCTAATTGCACATTACCTAACTCGTCACGCCACGCTTTATTGGGATCGTTTTCGATAATCGTTAGCAAACTTTTCAAAGTGCGCATCACACGCTCGACTTGCCCGTTTGCCTTGCTGGAGCCAGTTGCTATAAAATGCAGCTTAATGTTATGTTCTGAACAAAAGTTGAAATCCTGGCTAACGTAACACCTGCCTTGATCAGCTATTATGCGCTTAGGTGCTCCAAAAAGGCAAACGGCACTTTTAACGGCTTGAACCGCACTAGCTGCGTCTAATGATGAGGTGTGCTCTAATAATACGTATTTAGTGAACGCATCAATAATTACTGAACAATATTCCTTACGGTCACTTTTTCCACTTAGTTTGCCGGTGAAGTCTATATGAATCGTGTGCCACGGTATCGGAGCTTTTGGAATAGAATGTAGCTGCGCAGGCTGAGCACCTGAGGGACCTTTTGATGCCTTGCAGACAATGCAAGAGTCAATAAATTTTCTAACGCACTTGGACATCTGAGGGAACCAGTACTGTTCGTACAGTTTGTCCAGTGTTTTGTCACCACCCAGATGTTGTAACTCGTTATGAACGTGATTAATCAAAGTCCATATTAGGGAGCGAGGGACGACTGGCAGCCATGATATAATCTTGTTTCTTACAACCTTCCTATAAAGAATGCCATTCCTAACGTCATATGTCTGACCAACCGTTTCAGGAAAATCGTTATCAAGTCTTGGACCTCTGCATCACGTTTCTGTTCTACAGAAAGCCAACCCTGATGTAATTCTACAAAATTTACTATCTGAATTGTAGGTTTTGAAGAGACTTGTGACTCGGAAATTAAGCTATTGGGGTCCGGCAGGGGATTTCTAGAAAGGTAATCCGCGTGTTCCATGCCACGACCTTCGCGATATATGATATCGAAATCGTAGGCTTGTAAAAATGCCCACCAGCGATGAACACGTGGGGTTAGGTCAGTTTTAGATTTCGATGCTTTTAATGAGTTACAGTCCGTGAAAACCTTGAAACGTCGGCCGTATAAATAATGCCGGAAGTGTTCTACCGCTCGTACGACTGCCAGCGTTTCCAGTTCGTATGAGTGGTAGCGGGACTCTACTTCAGAGGTTCGTCGGCTAAAGTATTCTACAACATGGGGCAGGTCTTTCTTTTTCTGTATTAAGATCGCCCCATATCCCTCCGAGCTAGCGTCGCAATGCAATTCAACGGGTAAGTCCGGGTTAAAGATCAACAGAACTGGTTCGGAGGTAAGCATCTGTATAATGGTATTACGGATATGGGCGTCGTTGAACACTTTTATGGGGAACACTATACGAAACTGCTAGCATATTTGTCCAATAGTCTAATAAGGGCATCTCTATCATCAGCTGCCAAATCCGTATCTATCCGAGTAAAGTATGGCTGGGTAACAATCGCCTCACAAACATTAACTTCAAATTATCATTATTAATTTTGACGCTCACACCGTTTTCTAAAATGTCCCTACCTATTATAACAGGGTCCGTAAGACATGAGTCTGGTACTACATGAAATGTCAAGAGTTTTATAAAATTTTCAAAATTAACCTCACTCGAAATCTGTGACGTAGATTTTATTTCATTACCACCAATGCCCGCAAGATACACAAGATCATTGCGCACAGTACTTGGGAACTTAGTATAATAGCTCTCTTTTATCAACGAGCAAGACGATCCGCTATCAAACAAAAGAAAGGAGACTGACTCACCAGATGACATCCTCAAGGTGCCCCTCGACAGCCACTGTTCCAGATATTGACCTATTACCTTGCAGTAGATCCACCACCTTTTTCCTTTTCTTTACAAATTGTTGCTATGTGTCCAACTTGACCGCATATATAACAGGTTACGGTAGAAGTTTTCTCGGGGGCACGTGTTGCAGTTGACGGATCTTGCTGCTTAGTCATCCAAGAAGAATCTTCTCGAAGACGCTTGCCGGTGTCCGAGGATTCCACAAAAATGATATTTACCAGGAAATCTTGCGTCCACAATTCTAGGTCGCTTGAAATCAGTCTCTTGGATTTCAGTAACCCCCGATCTTCGCTTTAGGGAAATGTCTCTTAAGATTCTAAACAACTGAGGTTTAATAGTGACAGTATATGCGTTTAGCTCACGGCATATCAAATCATCCTTCTGACATAAGACCGATATGACGTATCCAGTTATAAAATCTTGACATTCGGGTTTTAGGTATAGTTTCGATCATATTCCATAAGCGCAGGCCACTCTGCTGCAGTTTCTTTTGTTCCAATTTGAAAACGCAATATTTCATCAAAGAAGTCTTGAAATAATTTTGGTTTACAAAATCTAGCCATTAAACTTTGTTTTACATTCTCCCATGTCAGCTCATACAAATTTAACTTGTTCAAGAAAGCTGCGCGCACTTTCAGTACACTGCTAAGAGCTAGAGAAATCTACGCCCTTTAAATGTTTAGTCAGTACTTTAAGCTCTGTAATTAAGACCAACCTTCTATATCCGCGTCTGCGTCTACCGGATTAAACTCTACGAATTTCACTGAAATATACTGGGCGTTAGCAGTTGCCACC